CTTCAGGAGCCTCTGGGGCAGGGTGGTCTTGCACTACCCGATTTATAAAAGTATGTTCTAGCAAGTCAGATGGTCTTCACCCACTGTTGGCTTCTGAGAGATAATGAAGATGCAGCCACTATTCTTGACCCTGCATTAGCAGGCTCATATAAAGGGATACACAATTTGCTCTTCAGCAGTCCCAGCCCCCATAAAGGGCTCTATGAAAGTTACCTTGTGTGCATGGGATAGGGTTAATCATCTTATTAAACCAGATGGGATAGAATACTCACCTGCCTCTCCATTATGGTTCAATCGGCACCTACCACATCTGAACATTATGCCTGAGCCCGAAGTCTGGGCCACTAAAGGGATTAAGCAACTAAGGGATATACAGGGGACAGTTAGGCTTCTTACCTTTGATTAACTTAACCCCTTGATGCCAACATTACATAATTATGCAACCTCACAGAACTGGGCTTTTTCCATGGGGCCACATATTTGCGTACCTGTCTTTGTGCTGGGAGCACACCGCACTGCACGCTCCCAGCACAAAGACCGCTGTGTCACTGAGAGCCCCGAGTCCCGTTCTAACGCTTGGGACCTGGGACTCTCGATTCCGGGTCACATGATCGCTGTGATAGCCAATCAGAGGCTATCATAGTGATCAGTCACTGTGCAGCACAGCCCCCTGGTTGTTTTGGGTTTTTTTTTTTTTCCCTCTCTCTATGAATGGAGAGAGATACATTGTAGCTCTCTAACTCCTGGCATAGGAGAGTAAATATATAAAAAAATACCTAGATCAAGGTTTGATCCAGTTCAGTGCCAGGGTTAGTGTTTGGGTCAGGGTCAAAGGTCAGGATTTAAAAAATGTTTTCGGTAAAACAAACAAAAAAAAAAAACCAACAAACATACACGTATATGGTATCGCTGCGATCGGCAAGAGCTGGAGAATTTATTTCGGGTTGTTTTTTGGTGGTAGATTATAGTAGCAACAAGAAACACAGCTAAATAAAAAAAAAAAAAAAAATGTTTTTTGTTTTTTTTTTACTATTTTGGGCCAGTGTTCCTTTAATTTAAAAAAAAAAAAAAGGAGACATTTACTACCATCTGAAAGCCTTGTTTGTCCTGAAAAAAACAAGGTATAATTCACCTGGATGTACAAAGTAGTTGTGATATGTACAGCTTCACTAACACGTCAACATTGCAAAATTGTGCTTAGGCATTTAGATTTGTTTTACCCTTAGGCATGAAGGGGTTAAACTCAGGTTTCACCTAACAGGCTTTGTTTTTTGTTTTAGATAGCTCCATCATGCTTTTGTAGTTCAGTTTGGTGGCACTACCCTAGCTGTCAGGTCTTCAGAGCTGGGGCAGTTGCCTAGCTCTGATACTCTAAGAAAACACTCTATGAGATATATAAAGAGCTCTTTGGCACCAGACCTGTTTTTTGAGAAATTCCAGATGTAATGATATGCAGGACTATCCCTACTGCAAGTTGATATTGGCCAGAGACCGACTCATCCAATTTAAACTGGTGCATAGAATATACTACACACCTGCTAAGCTAGCACCTATATATGCCTCAGATTCAGCAGAGTGATGGCGTTCTACATCTTCTTTAGCAGATTTTGGCCATTATTTTTTGGGAACTTCCCAATGATTCAAGACTTTTGGTGCGAGGTAGTCCAGTCTTTGGTCGATCTTACCACATTGCAAATTCCGCAAACTGTATCAGTATGCCTTCTTGGGCTGGTGGAGGAGTTAGTACCTCTGTGTGCAAAGCAAACCCTCCTTTCAGTGACCCCGTTCTATGCTTGTAAGGATAGTTTGCGCCAGTGGGAAAAAAAACCTGAAGCTCCCACTCTCATTCGAAATCCCTGATTAACAAGATATTACCATTATATAAAGGTGACCTATTTGAGCATAGGTTCTGATCACATGTGTATTTTTGCATATCGCACCGCTTTTTTTGGACCAATTTCAGGGTGGTGTTAACGTAACATACACACCCACAGCAGATCGCATGAACAGGGTGCGACTGTGATGCGGAATTCGCACAGAAAACCTGTGAATTCCACACCGCATCAGTGTGAACCCAAACTTAAGAGTTCCTATAAAGATTAGATCTAGGTCAGTGCAAAGGTTAGTGTTGGGGTCAAATAAAGGTCAGTTTGGGCAGGATTTTTTTTTTTTTTTTTACATTAGCAGTGTCAGTGTGTATTAAGATAAACAAAAAGCAAAATACACAGTATTGTTTCTGGGCCTTACTACCAACAACGATAAATAACACACACATATGTAGTATCGGTGCAACTATCAGGAGCAGAAGAATTTATTTTGAGTGCCTTGGTGGTAGGTTATTGAAGTAGCAGGAAATATACAGCTAAATTTAAAAAAAAACTTTTTTTCTTTTTTACTCTTTTGGGCCAGTTTTCTATTGATTTAAAAAAAAAAAATCATGCAACATCCATTACCATTTACTAACAAAAGAAAGCCCAATTTGTCTATGTATATATGTATAATCCTCCTAGATGCACAAATTAGTTGTGATGGTATGTACAATTTTACCACGTCAAAATTGTGTTCAAGCAGTAAGATTTGTTTTACCCTCAGTCACTAAGGGTTGATACTTGCAGCACATAAGTGATCCTTAACATTTTTATTTAACAAATCCAGTAATCTAGTGGGCTCTTTCCAGCCTTTAATACTGAAATAGGTTTCACTGACCTGACAGTCACCATGAAGATTGACTGTGTGTACATTTCTGAATGTTATTACCAGCATTTATATTGTCAAACTAAAATAACCACAAACAGAATTGGCTGCTCCATATACATATTTTACAAAAACAAATTATTCCTAGTGGCAGAGAAAATACACCAATAAAATACAATGATCAGAATCTGTGTCTGTGACAGAATGTCAGCAAAGAAAGTAAGGCGAGACCCCAACCCTTAAAAAAAACCTTTAATGACATAGTCATGAAATTCCAGTGTTCCAAGTTAACTGTTCAAATGAAAAACTTATCCACAACACTGTGGTGACAAGGACATTTGATGAATACAACAGACCCAGAGGTAAACTTGTTTTTGTGGCCACATACAAAAAGGTATACAGAGCAAAAAAGCCGCATTACACCACAACTGTTACCCCTTACATATTCTGCATCCACCTTCTTAACCATTACACCAGTCAGTATGCTCTTCACATATGGTTATGAAATTAAATGGTCTGTAAAATGTATTCAATCTGGAAATAAATGGCAAGACAATGGAAGATATTAAAAGCACGCATCAGGAGAAAAATCAAAATTTCATTTCCGACAGAAGAGGAATGAACTAATACAGTAAGGGGCCTAAGACTGCACAGTCGAACCGCATATCTTGCAGCTGAGGTTGTCAAACTCCTTGAGCCACTGTGTGGATGATTTATAGGGATAACAAAGCAAAACCTCATCTATTAACAATTGGAAAAAACTTCCGTGCAATAAAGGAAACCAATAATGAGGGAAATTCAAAGGCTGCCACAGTTCAGACCACCTGAAAATGGAAGTTGCCAGGCTGACATGTTGATCCCTTAGATTCAGTATGGATTGGAACAAGTATGCACAAGTGCAATAAGAGGAACATCAGAACTTCTGATCTGCATGCTTGCTCCTGGTTAGTGACTAGTAAGTAGTGATTCCAGAGGTACAGCACAACAGTATGGCAACCAGGATTTTCAATAGTAGAAGCAATGGCAGACAAATGTTTTCCAAATCACAAGTTTCCTTTCAGCCATATGAAAAAAAAAATTATATAAAATTTACACTATTGTAACTGGAAAGCGAACACCACTAGGACTGAGGGGAAACCTGCGCTTTTCTCATGGAACGCAGAGCCTTCTCTCGTAAATGCTTCTCCAGATCGTCTAGATTTCCATCGCCATCACTTTCAGTCTCCTGGTGGGGGGGAAATGTACAGGATTTTTGTTTAGGGAGGTACACGCCCGGCATCAGCAGAATTTTTATTACGCTGCAGCAGAAGACAGAAAAGGAGGCAGAACAGTGATTTGCTACCGAAACTTGTTAATGGGGCGCCCTTATATCTCCCACCCCCAGAATTAATAGCGTCTACAAGATACAGCATATCCTTATATGCCGACATGACTGTAAGTTTCTGGAACCGGGGGAAATGCAAGTTTCGGGAGCTGGATGGATTTGGATGGTAGTGTGCAAAATGTGAAGCCTCAGCAAACATGCGCCTGCCTCACCTTCTTGGCTTCAATGTCTGCATCAGGTTCACCAGGTTCTGGGGAGATGCAGCAGCTACAGCCTTCTCTTTCTTATGTTTTTTGTGTTTCTTGTGCTTCTTATCCTTTTTGTGTTTCTTGTCCTTTTTCTTCTTTTTCTTTTTACCTCCACCATCTTGATCAGATGTCTACAAAAACAAACAGAGTACTTAAAATATTGGCTTCACGTCAGGTCTCTGTAAAATAATTTTTTCAGCAATATCATTCAAGTCATGAAAAAAGCAACCTTGCCAATTTTCTAAAAAAAAGCTAAACAGAACCTCTATTTGGATTTTTTTTAAAGTGACTAACAGGAATTGTCAGATGCCCACAAACTTCATCATGTACATTTGATCCAATCTACTGACTCCTACATTAGTACTATGTCCTTTATAGCCGTAGAGAAAGCATGCAACCACAATGCTTAGAAGGAGACACAGGCATCTGAAGCTTCTGGAGATGCAGAATGCTAAAAAGTCCAATGGACACAGTAGCAACTGTGTGGAGAGGAACCTCTATTTTGATTTTTTTAATTATTTATGAAGTTCAAGTCATACAGGAATAATTCAGTCTAACAGATTTCACTATAAAACACAGCATGGTCAGTGAGCGTTGTGCATATATGATTCAATTATCATTAGATCCCACACAAGGAAGTATTACATTAGTAAACAGCACTAGAACTACAACAGGATCATAGATGAAAGAAACATCAGGTCAGAAACCCTACAACACGGTATGCCCCATTATCGCTACTTAAGGCTTGCCCTGCATAACCTGTTAATTTTTGGATACAAAAAGATTGGGGAGAATGAGTGAGATGAGGCAGGAAAAACCCTGTCTACCCAGGAAAAGAAAATAGAGCAAGAAAATGGGGGGGGGGGGGGGGGGGGGTGGGGAGCTGAAGGTTTTGAGGGGGGAGGGAAAGAGGGTGTGTGTGTGCACGCCACCCAAGCAATACCGTACATCAATATTGTGATTTTTAAGTTACTGACAGGGCTGTTTTGAAGGAGGGAGGTGGTACAGAATTTTTTCAAAAACACACTGACAATCTGGACATGTTAAGCTGAAACAAAGAAGTCTGTAAATATGCATCCTAGGCATGCTTTTTACCATATAATAGATATGCCCTCTAGTATGCAATCATAAACAGACCTGCCCTCTAGTATGCAACAAAGGATAACGGGGGAAAGAAAATCATTGTACCTCTACTAGTTATGAAACAAACACACTTTATTTAAATGGTCTAGAAGTGCCATCAGACCTTGAAAGCAGTTTTCACTTCTGTATTTTAAAATGTTAGCTTTTCTAGTTTTTTTTTTCCAGCAGTGTAGCATAAATACCTGAGCTGGAGATGGGCTGGGTGTGGCGCTCTTGGTTTTCTTAGCAGGTGCCGGAGCTGGGGACCAGTTGCCAGATTGAGAACGAGATCTAGACCGGGATGGAGGGACTATTTGTTTATTGGGAGCTGGCTCAGGGGACCCAGAAACAGATCGTGATGATGAACCTCTTGCAAGCTGTGGACTGGGAGATTCCCTAAGATGAAAAGCAAATAATATATAGTTCAGACTGAATATTTCTATAGCAGATTATTATACAGTAAAAAGAATGATCAAAAAAAATTACTTTTTAGGTTTCTTCAGTTCTGGAGTCCTTGATACTCGTCTAATAGGCCTGCTGCTTGGTGAAGGGGACTGCTGCCTTCTTGGAGGAGATGAAGACCCTCCTCTCCTGTGTGTCGGAGGACTCTCAGAACTTCGAGCTGCTCGTGGACGTGGAGAAGGTGAGGAACGTTTAGCCTGTGGTGGGGACCGAGTTTCTCGCCCTGCCCGGCTAGGAGAAGTTCCCTTACGGTGTTTAGAGGGTAGCGATGGAGAATGCCTCTTTCCTCCAGGTGATCCTTTATGTTTCTGTGGAGGTGAATGTGATACTCTGCGCTTTGATGGAGGAGGAGGAGGAGACTGTGATACTCGGCGCTTTGGAGGTGGCTGGGGCAGTGGTGAAGAAGTTCTTCTTTTTGGGGGAGGAGAGGGGGAGTACCTCCTTTGAATGGGTGGTGAGTACCGTCTTTGAGAAGAAGAATGCCTGTGAGGTGATGGAGATCTATAAAACAATAAAAAAAAAAAAATGTAACTGCCATTTTTACACTCCATGAAATGTGGCATAAAGAGGAGTTAAACTAAAAAATCTAACAATTACTTCATCGATTTTGATTTCCCTTTTAAGCCATTTACCTGCGCCTTTGAAGAGAAGGAGAGCGTCGCCGCCTGGGAGGTGGAGCAGGAGAAGGACTGCGCCTTCTTCTGGCAGGAGGTGGAGTCGGACTCCTCCTTCTTCTGCTGTAGAATGAGAACATAAAAATTTTTCTGTTTACAAAACATGCAGCAGTGCTATTTTATAAAAATGTAAATATAAACTTTCGTAGTGTATGTATTTTTTTTTGGTTTAGGGTGGAGCAGAAAATAGTTAAAATCCTTTTCAGTTTTTTCCCCTTGCTGTCTGTACCCTATGAGGGACATTTCACTTCACTTTCTGTCCCAGAGACATAACAGAATACAGGATTAATTATCCGCAAAGAAAGTCCAATTTAAATTGAGACGTGATAGGGACAGCAACAATAAAAATAAAATGGAGGAGGCAACAAAACAACTTAAGGTCACCATAACAACCAAGGCTTGAATGAGAATGGAGGTTAAGAGGGGTAAAGAACAAACATAGCTAGTGAAAATGGACCGTCCATTCAAATGGGCACACTGGCTATTACACTTGCTGAAAGCTATGATTAGGGATATATTAAATGCAAAGTTAAACAAGATAAAGTAATACAAATAGTAAACCAATGATAGTAGTACGTTATATAAAACGCCACTAGCAGAGCAGTCTACTCAATCACTAAACTACCTACATCATCAGCAAGAGGACAATAGCCATGTCTAAACCAACCTTTTAAGAAGAGGTGACTGCCACCTTTTCACAGTCTGCATCCTGACAGCAAAAGGGAAATAAACAGTTTCAAGCTCATTGTATCCTAAAAATGTATACTTGTAAATATGAAAAAATAAAAATGATGTGCAGATGTGTGTGTGCATGTGTAGTAGTAGTACCGTGGAGATGGATCCCGAGGTCTCTTCTTTGAAGGTGAAGGGCTTCTTGATGTTGAATGCCTGCGCCTTCTGCCAACCTCTCCATTCTTCACTGCAATGCGCTTTGGCCTTTCATCCTCTGAAGAGGAGGATGATCCAGAGTCTATAAAATTACAGAAATCAGATTTTAATCACTATATATATATATATATATATATATATATATATATATATATATATATATATTATATATATATATTCCCTGGACAAATAAAACCTAAGTTTTCCACTTTTCTAGGGATCATTACAGGAATTCAATTCACCTTACCAGCTTCAAGGTTTCATAAGAATAACGCCAATCTCACCAGGTGGATTTTTTTTTCTTAACAGACAATCGTATTTTTGCAGGCACATGTCATGTGCTCCAACTTGCTCATGTGCAATACAATATTGAAAGGCTGGGTATGACATTTTAAACATGGAAGCTAGAAGCAGCCTTAAGAAGGCTGAAGGGCAAGGAGAGGCAGCATGGACATATGTAAGTGTGCTTGTTTAGACACACTGATTCACAGACTGCCATTTTCTTTAATGGTGGGGGGGGGGGGGGATTTCTTTAACCACTTGCCATCTGCCTGCTGTTTATAAACGGCAGGACGGCGGCACTCCAGGGGCGGGTTGCCGTCATAAACGACACCCGCATTTTTCTAGCTGTGTGCGCTCCCAGGGAGCCTGCAGCACCGCGATCCGGTGCCCGCTGTGTGGAACACTGATCGTTGGATGGGACCTCTGTGCGAGGTCCCGATCATGTGATCACTCATTGGCCAATCAGTGATCACATGCAGAGTAGTAAGCAAGATGTCACTTGTGACATCATTGCTTACGTGTAAAATCTGTGAATGATCACAAAGGTCACATGGTATAAGGCTATTCACAACAGCCTTGTACCATGTGACAAGCTGTGACCAATCACAGCTCACACAGTATTTCTCAATGGCTGCAAGAATGCAGCTAGAGAGAAGGAGAAATGATTGCTTTTACAGCCTTTATGGGTGTAAAAGCAATCAGTGTAAAAAAAAAATAAAATAAATAAAAATCTTCATCACCCCCCACAAGTAGTACAGTTGTCACCATTGTGACACTGTTCTGCTAGGGCAGTGGTCGGCAAGCCGCGGCTCGAGAGTCACATGCGGCTCTTTACACATTTTAATGCGGCTCTTCTGTGTGCCGGGTGCCCGCTCCCCTCCCTCCTCTCGGGCGGCCGCCCCAAAAGTCAGGACTCTGCAGCTAGCCCAGCAATGGGCAAACTACGGCCCGCGGGCCGTATACGGACCCGGCGGACCTTTTAATCCGTCCCACGGAGCGTGGCAAACATTGGCTGTCAGGATGTAGGCGGGGCAGCGTGACGAACTCCTCTCCTCTCACAGTCCGCCCTGAAGACCGGAACGGCGCGGGAACACGGCGAGAGGAACGCGCGGAGCAAAGGTAAGTGAATTGACACAATATGGGGGATGAATTACTATGGGGGGATGAATTACTATATGGGGGATGAATTACTATGGGGGATGAATTACTATATGGGGGATGAATTACTATATGGGGGATGTATTTTCAGTTTTAAAAATGTGGCTCTCAAAATAAATTTCAATCGTGGTTTTGGCGAGATTTGGCTCAGTTGAAAAAAAAAGGTTGCCCACCACTGTGCTAGGGTGACAGTATGTAAAAAAAAAAAAGTAAAGAAAATGTTTAAAAATTATAATTTTTGATTATAACCTAATTTGGGTTATTTTTTTTTACTAAAAAGATAACGGAATAAAGTTTGGCCAAGATTTATGATGAAATACTATTTGCAAAATTTTATTTCAAAATTTTTGGACTTTTTCATTTACATAGCAAAAAAAATAAAAAAAATCCCAGTGGTGAATAAATACCACCAAAATAAAGTTTTATCTGTCTCAAAAAAAATGGTAAAAAAAAAAAAATATGGGTACAGTGTTGCAGGACCGCGCAATTGTCATTCAAATTGTGATAGTGCTGAAAGTTGAAAATTGGCCTGGACAGGAAGGGGGTGAAAGTGTCCAGACTTGAAGTGGTTAAAGTAACTGTCAAAGTTGATGACTAGGAGTTTTGATAAAGGGTGTTTAATGGGTATGCATATGTACTTACCTGCATCAATGAAAACAGTGACATTTCAAGCACTGATTACAGAAGAGGAAATTATTTGTACTATAAAAACAAAATGTAATTCATACCAGAGGACGACTGTTGATTCTGTCTTCTGTACTGACGACGCTGCTGTGTACTGAATCAGAAGCTCCCATTTTGCCTCCTTTTTCATCATCTACAAAAATAAATTCTCAACTTGAACATTCTTTAGCAGTTCAGAATTAGGCTATTAGGAAGGAACATATACTATATATATTTAAGTGTTTCTCAACCTTTTTTCAGTTATGGCGCCTTTTAAAAGTATCTTCAGTCTTGAAGGCTTCCCAGTCTAAGGCTAAGTTCACATTATTGCATGTCGGTAACGTTCACAAAACTGCACACTCAACACACAAATGCACTGCTCTTTAGCAGACGTGTGGGGTGCTATTAATTGCAGCCCTACACATCAGCAAATATAGCATTTTCACACATGCCAATTCGCATGGTGCAGCAGCACCAGGTCCAAACTTCTTTTGCCATGTTTCTGTGGGTAAGGCAGCCCCTGAAATAAACGGGCTTGCTGCCCTACAGGCAGCTGCACAGATGTGAATTAAGTAAGGGCTTGTTCATACGTGAGGTTGGGGGGCGGTAAGATCATGAAGTTGACCCATGTTTTTACCATCCCAAACTGCTCCCCTTTAGCTGCAGAGGCAACAGCTGGGATCATACACATGCAGTGGCAGGAATTGTACTCTGTCAAGTTGAGCACGCAGTACCTCCCACCGAATGCGATCGGACTGCAGCCACCCTGCATCTGCATGCATTGCTCGCAGTTACAGCAAGGTGGTGCTGCATTTAAAAAAGGGATAAAATGGGCAGTGAGGAGGCAACATATTGACTCCTCACCTCCTGTCAAATACCTCTTAAAAGCAATTCACGCAATCTAGATGTAAAAGTTACATTATTATTATAAAACAGTATTTATATAGCGCCAAAAGGTTTGTTCAGCGCTGTACATTATAGTGGGGGACAGTACATGAGACAATACAGTAACAGAATACACGAGGGGTTCGAGGGCCCTGCTCTTTCGAGCTATCTACATACACACGTGAGTATAAATGTAAACACTCACACACAAACTTACATATACACACACTTAAACTCACATACAGAGGTTAGACAAAAATATGGAAAACTACATGATTTGCAGCTGTGAAAGTGACGACGCTTCACGTTGAAAGCGGAAGTGATGAAACATTCTTTTGCTTCCACTGTGTAATAAGACACCTGGCTAACAGGTGGGAAACCTCACTTTTGTCATTCACTGCGTGCGCTGCTAGTACTACGGAGTATTGTCAGAGCTTACCAAGCTTCAAAGGAGGGCAAATTGATGGTGCCCGCTTAGCAGGTGCCTCTGTGACTGAAGTTGTCAATTTTCTGTGTACAGAATTTGCAAGGTACAGTATCAAAAGGTTATGATGGCACATACAGTTTCCAGGAAAACATCTGATAAGTGCAGTCGACATGGTCAACTGACCAAAAGAGACAAAAAAAGGACACTGTGCAGTATTGTGACAGGTAATAAGAAAACTGTTACAAAAGTGACTGCAAAGCTCAATCTCAGTCCTGTGAAGACACTTTCCAGGAAACTGTATATGCCGTCATAACCTTTGATACTGTACATCGCGATACGGCAAATAATTTGGCAACTTCAGTCACAGAGGCACAATCACTGCAGGCAGCAACAATTTGCTCACACTGATCAACTGTTACATTACTTCTGCTTTCAAAACATGATGTCACTTTCACACCTGCAAATTATGTAGTGTTTTTATTTTTTTTGTGTAACCCATGTACATATAAGCCTTTTAAAAAACAAAACTGCAGTACTGTACCTACACCCACACTGCAAGGTACTGCACTGTAAAGAAGACAAAGCAGATCAGGACTAAGGAAAAGCGCTCCGCATTCCACTGCTCTGCACTCGATGTGCTGATGTAGAGTTCAGCGGAGCAATGGAAGCTCAATGTCAACCGTTCTCAGCAAGGAAGCTGCAGCACCCCTGAGGAACATACAGCACCCCAGTTGAGAAAGGCTGTATCAATATTCATTGAGTATTATCTATCATTGAAAAATATTACTGTTTGATATTGAGTGATCACCTCACCTGAATCAGATGTGTCTCTTTTGCGAGGTTTTGGAGGTGGTGATGGGGTCTTTCGCTTTTCCGGAATTTTGTGTTTTGGTACTAGATAGTAGAAAAGGATATTTAAATTAAACATGACAAGAAAAAACTATGAGTAAAGTCATAATGACATGGGATACAGTCTCAACACCAAAAAAACTGTTGCTGTAACTCCCCAAAAAGCTGTAGCTAGCTTCAGCCATTATGTAAAGTCCTTCGAAAATAGATTTATGGGTGTCGGAAAAAACTCAAAACAAAGTAATATACAGTAAAAGCATAAAGACAACAGCATAAAAATAGATATACATTTTTGCTCTCATTAAATTCTGCATCAGACTTGTACTTTCAATGGACTGGAATCAAACATGCATAGATATACACCCTGCTCCAAATTATTATGCAAATATTTTTCTCATTTACCTAAATAATTGATGTAAATAACAGTCAGCATAATTCTCATGTTATCAATTATTAAGAGTACAATTCAAATTTTATTGAACAAACCTCCTAATGATAACAGTATTTTTTTTAAACAAAACTTACAATGCACTGTTTCAAATTATTACACACAGTAAGTTTCAAAACACTTTATAGGTTGTAAAGAACTGAAAATTGTCATTTGTTGTGTTTGCAGCATATTTACTGAAATCAAAAGCTATTTCAATCAAACTTTTACCAGCATTTTAACTTTTTAAACATTTTAACAGGTCATGTTACATTGTAACATAGGACCCGTGATTTGATAGCAGCTTCACAAGTCTTGCATCCATTGAACTTGTGAGTTTTTGCAGTTTCTGCTTGAATTTGTTTGCAAGATGTCAGAATAGCCTCCCAGAACTGCTGTTTGGATGTAAACTGCCTCCCACCCTCACAGAACTTTTGCTTGAGGATGCTCCAAAGGTTCTCAATAGGATTGAGGTCAGGGGAGGATGGAGGCCACACCATGACTTTCTCTTTTATCCCCATAGCAGCCATTGATGCAGAGGTATTCTTTGCAGAATGAGATGGTGCATTGTCATGCACAAAGATGATTTAATTACGGAAAGCATAGTTCTTCCTTCTGTACCAGGGAAGAAAGTGGTCAGTCATAAACTCCACATACTTTGCAGAGGTCATCTTTACACCTTCGGGGACACTAAAGGGGCCGGTCCAGCTCTGTTCCCATGATTCCGGCCGAAAACATGACTCTACCACCGCCTTGCTGACGTCGCAGCCTTGTTGGAACAGGGTGGCCGTCCACCAACCATCCACTACTCCATCCATCTGGACCATCCAGGGTTGCACGGCACTCATCAGTGAACAGGACTGTTTGAAAATTAGTCTTCATGTATTTTTCTGCCCAATGCAGCCATTCCTGCTTGTGGGCATTGGTTAGTGGTGGCCGAATAGGTTTATGCACAGTTGCAAGACTCTGAAGGACTCTACACCTTGATGTCCGTGGGACTCCAGAGGCACCTGCAGCTTCAAATATCTGTTTGCGGCTATGTAATGGTATTTTAGCAGCTGCTCTCTTGACCGATGCATGGATCTGGCAGAAATCTTCCTCAATGTGCCTTTATCTGCACAAAGCTGTCTGTGCTCTGAATCGGCCACAAATCTCTTAATAGTGCGATGATCACGCTTGAGTTTTCGTGACATATCTAATGTTTTCATACCTCGTCCAAGGCATTGAACTATTTTACTCTTTTCGGCAGCAGAGAGATCCTTTTTCTTTCCCATATTGCCTGAAAATAGTGCTCTGCTTAATAATGTGGAACACCCTCCTTTAGTAGTTTTTCCTTAAATTGGGCTCACCTGCCAATCTAATTATCACAGGCGTCCGAGATTGTTTTCAGTGATCAAAAGAGCCCTGACACACAATGCCATCCATGATTTAAACTAAAAAACAAAATATTTAATCTTTGTGACACTTAAAAGAGAGTTTGCATAATAATTTGGAAAAGGGTGTAAATGTACTGATCAGTTGTTCCTGCAAAACCAAGACATCAAGGCCATACAAGAACAGAAAATAGGGAAGATAAAACCTACTTTGTGCACGAGAAGGAGAAACAGATCCTCGAGACTTTCTGGGCGAGAGGACTGTGGGGAAGGAGAATGCCTTTTTGGAGGTGGACTTGGTGGAGGAGATTGCCTATAGCGCCTTCTTGGAGGACTTGCAGATGGGGAGGAACGGCGAGGCTTGCGTGGTGGGCTAGAGGACATTCTCTTAGGTGGTTTCTTTGGAGGAGGTGGCGATCGCGATGAGGAGGAGGAGCTGCTGCTTCCAGACACTGATGCTGAAGAGCGTCGCCTTCTGTGTGATACATTTTTTTTTAAAGTTACTTCTCTAACACAGGCATGCACAAACATAAAATATAAAGCTAATGCTATCTACGAAGTGCACAAAAATTAATCCTATAGACAGACTATATACAGATGTTCCTTTTTCCTTAAAGCAGTAGTAAACCACAGAAAACAAAGTCCCTGCAATGTAATGTCATAATGTGCTAGCACATTATGAAAGACTTGCCTTATAACGAAGACCTCCTGCGGCACGCTGTCACCACTTTAGAGGCTTCCATCTTCACCTGGTCTTCCTTCCGGGTTCGCGAGCTCTGGCTGTCTGGCTTGCCGGGCCATGATGACATTGTTCCCACGCATGCGAGCGGGAGCCCCAGGCCACGGCACAGTACCCTGAAGAAATGTTATGAGTATACCGTTCCTTCAGTGCCATGTGCCAGCTCTAAGAGCGAGCAAATATCACCTAAATGCGTCACGTTTAGGAGATATTTCACCTACAGGTAATCATTATAAGCTTACCTGTAGATAAAAGTTATTAAAAAAAAAAAGTTTTACTACTACTTTAACCATTTCAATACCAGGTACTTTTGCCCCCTTCCTGCTCAGACCAAATTTCCAGCTTTCTGCGCTCTCAGTTTGAATGACAATTGAGCGGTCATGCAACACTACCCAAACTAAATTTTTAGCATTTTGTTCACACAACTAAAGCTTTCTTTTGGTGATATATAATCATTACTAGGTTTTATTTTTTATTACATTTAAAAAAAAACAAAAAACACCCAAACATTTTGAAAATTAAACTTTCTTCTTTTCGGTTATAAAAACTTTGCAAATAAATAATTGTTAAAAAATTTAGCCAAAATGTACACAGCTACATTTCTTTGGTGAAAATAACCCAAAATTAGTGTATATTATTTAGTCTATAGGAAAGTTATAGAGTCCACAAACTATGGTATAGATCTGAAAAAAAAAAATCAAATCCTGCTGTACGACAACTGATCTAATTTCCTGAGGCCCCAAAAATGTCAGGACAGTAAAGATATCCCCCAAATTACCCATTTTTGGAAGGGAGACAGCCTGCGGTATCTAGTAAGGGGCATGGTCAGTTTTTTTCAAGTTGTCTTTTTTTGGAAAATGAAAAAAAATTTTCACCATCATTTTTTTTTTCACCTTCACCAGTAGAGTCATCATATAACTGCTGTGGCGATGAGTATGTAGAGAGGACATACATTCTCATAGCACTTATCTAAGGTAAAAGGCCAACACCACCTTAGGAAGGAAGGTCAGCAGAGGACAAAGGACTGCCTTGTCCTTGTGCAACACCAAAAAAGGTTGCTTACAAAAAAGCGCTGCAAGCTTGGACAATCGATGAACAGATGTGATTGCCACCAGTCTTTTGCGACAGTGATGAAATGGGAATATCTTGGATATTCTCAAAGGGATGTTTTTGAGAATCTGAAAAAACAAGATTCAGCTCCCAAGGCGGTAGAGGGAGGCCTAGGCAGCAGAGGCACGCAAGTGACCCCCTGAAGAAAAGTGCAAACCAAAGGCAGAAGTGATTGATGGAAGCTACAATTAGTGCAGCATCCGTGTTAATGTCCCTCCAACTGAGGGAGAGGAAGGTTTTTCCAGACAAAAAAAGTGGGGAGTGAATCCACTGAGAGCGGATGGGAAGATCAAGAAACCCGTAAACTCTCCTCCACTTGGCAAGATCTCTCAGTACAGAGGCATACGGAACTGCCTTGAAGGAGGCCACCCAGAATCCTCATGCATAACCGAATGGGGGCCATCCGCAGAGAAAGGAGGCGGCAAACAAAGACAGCTTCTGGAGTTTCTCCTGAGAAAAACACTGGTCACAGATATGTGCAGCAAGATTCCCAGGTATTCCAGGTGTGGGGAAGGAATCAGAACTCACCCACCCATGATCCTCCAGGGTCCTGATCATAATAACTAGTTTACGCTCCAACTTTGAAGCCGCCTGGACTCGCAGGAGTAGATTGTCCTGATATCCCATGATCGAAATTCCCCACAATTGCAGGAGGGCCAGGACTTTGGTAAAGACTCGTGGAGTCGAAACCAGAATAAGGAGAGCTACAAACTGATAATGCAAGTCCCTGCAAACCGAAGGAACCTCTAATGTTAGCAACAGGTGGGGACATGAAGAAAGGCGTCAATGTTGATAGAGGCCAGAAGGTCCTCTTGGTGTAAGGAGGCTATGACTGAGCGTACCGACTCCATGCAAAACCTGTGCAACCCAGAAAGGAATTCAGGGGCTTTAGGTCCAGAATCAAGACAAACCAGTCTTTCTTCAGAACATTTAAAAGATTAGAAAAGAACCCCTTGAACCGCTCAGAGGACTGATCTGGGGCTATGACACCCTAATCCAAAACGCAGGTCTGCCAGACACTGTGGAGAAAGTAATGATTCAGCAGCAATGACTGAAACTCTATCTGTAGTCAGAAGAGACAACCTACAAGACCCATCTGTCTGCAATGCGAGGAAGCCAGTGATCTGCGAACAAAACGCGCCCCCCCCCCCCCCACCTTGAGGTGTTGTGGTGGGGGCTTCATGTGGAAGTGGCCTTCTCAGATGGCTTGGGGTTCTAAGATTGCCAAGAATGTTTGAAGGCAGGAGGAGGTGGAAGGTTTGGAAGCCTTATCCTTGGAAGAGGAACTATGACAAGGAAAAAGATGTTTGTGGGCTGCAAAAGGACAGTCCCGCCTTGCAATGAGAATCGCTTCTGACGCTAAGTGATGAAGGTGCTCTTGCCCCCCTTGATATATATTCTTGATATCACCCAGGGACACTCAGAACAGACGGTCCCACACAAAAGAGAATTTCCATAACCCCCTTCTTGGAAGTCTGGTCGGCGATAAGCACTTAAGCCATAGGACATGCCATAAGACCACTATGGAGGAGGTCATATGAAAAACCATTTGAATGAGTCAAAGACTGCGCTGCACAGGTATTGGAGCACTTGTGCTAGCTGGTACACTAGTTCAACATAAGCAGGGGAGACTTGCTCAGTAATCAACCTTTGGTGAAGGAGCTTGCCCACTCACTCAGGGCCTGGAAAACCATACTTGAAGCCATGGTCAGACAGATCAAGGCCTGCAAGCTGCATACACTGAATGTGTCATGCTCTCCAACATTTTATCTGAGGGGTACTGCTCATATAGTATAATGGTATCCTTGTTTAGGCAGGAAATAGGGGGGTATACCACAGGAGGGGTATCCCAAATTTTAACAAACAGCAGACAGAAAACTGCAAGGATAGGGAGAACGGCTTGGCCAGGCACATCCATGGTTTGTAGATGAGATCATCAAATAAGGTATTGTATGAAAAAACCTTGGTCCAGTCTCTTTTGTCTGTACATCCCAAAAGAGGCTTGGAAGTCCATAGTCGGGGGGCTGGGAGTCCTCCGTTTTCAGCATTTCCCAGAACACTCAGCATTTTTGCCAACAGGTCCTTTTTTGCTGAAAAATGAGGAAGATCCCACCAAAAGGGAAAAGATCTCCAGGAGGAAATCATAGGAGCCAGGGAATACTATAATGTAACCAAACAGCCCCTTCCCCACATGAAAGGCATATTCACGGACCTGAGGGTCAGCCTGGGAAAGAAGAACCCAGTCCAACTGTTTAACACCACTGCCAAGGGGATGAGCCCCCTGCCGATCCTCGATATAGGGGAGGGGATGCGCTCATTGGTGATGCTGGGATCTATGATACCTGGCCTATCATCCAGCAGCACAGCTGACTGAAGAAAAAGACATCTTCAGTGATTGGAGCAAACCCTAAGGAAAAACGAAAAAAAAAAAAAAAAAAACCCTCCAAAAATTGAAAACAATACAACTAAATAAAAAACCTAGAAGCTAGAGAGCTCCCATCCAAACTCTACACAATAACTGAATTCTGTATTGCAGCACCCCTTAGGTGTGCTTTAGTTTTACGTTGCACCTAGCATGTTGCTCCTGAAGGTGGCAGCATCAAATCCATGAAATGGTGAGGCTGTCTTTCCATGGACATTCGAGAAATACAGAATTCTAAAAACAGATTTCTAAAATAGCTATACAGTCTAACAAATTGTGTTTATTATAGACTGTTTTCAAATCGTAACTTTAGTACTTACCGCCTGACTGGACTCCTACTCCTCTTGTGCCTAGGTGGTGGCGGCATGCGGCGAGGAGGACTCCTCCTCCTTGGTGAAGGTCTACGCCGAGGGCTGGGTCTTCTCCTCGGGCTATAAGACCTGAAAAATCACAAAGTGTTTATAACCGCAATCTTTCAATAAAAAAAAAGTTACAACATATTATGTGATGTTAAATACACTTGTGTATTCCATATAAAGAAAATGAAAATTTGTAAAATGCATATAAAAATAATGAAAATGTAATGCCTTGGTAATTACCTAGATCTTGATCGATGACGCCTTCGTGTTCTAGAGTGGGAAGGCGAATGAGACTTAGATTTTGATTTGGAGCGTGAACGTGACCTGTGACGATGTCTCTCTTTCTCTTTTAGCTTTCGTGAGTTTGGCTCAGGTGAGGTTTCCTTTGTATCTGCCACAAGATCTGGTTTGGAAGCTTTCACTATGTCACTGAAGAGAGAAAAGCAGATTGTAATTATTATTATCTCAAGACTTGCATAGGCACCGTTCTGGAAATGCAATAAATTAACAAATAAAAATTAGAATAAATTAGTGCACTTGGCAACACGTTACCAAGGCCTATAAAAAAAGTCATAAGTAATTTCTTCTATTTTCACTACTAAATTCTGCAGATTTTTATTCTGGCTAAAGTAATAGGTCTGTTGAAGCACAATGTAAAAAAATTAAGGGCTAAAGAAGATGCTAGTGGAAAAAAGTCAAAATTTAGTCCCCCAATGAAATTAGAAAAAAAAAAAAAAAAAATTTGACTTTTGGTTTACCTGTCAAACCTATTTCGTGCAGTACATCGGGTACTTCATATTCACAACTACTTGGGTTATGCTGCCACCTTCAGGTGAATTGACACAAGAGAAAAAAAAAAAAAGGCAGAATTCACCACCCATGCATAACCCCTTAGCTAAACCTCAGTTTAGTAGCAAGCAATGAGGAACACAAAAGGAGAGGATCCTGTGTCTTTTGATATATTCCAAGAAAATGATTTTACAGGTTAATCAAAAACCTAATTTCTGAATGGTTCATCAGGACACAATGTACTTTCTATTCATGAATATTCAGGAAGTTCCAAAGCAGTGAAGGGAAAGTAGGGGAAAATCTCAATACAAGGCCACCTGCAAGACCTTGCAAAAAACTGGCTTTTGCAGTGGCGTGAACATCTAGAGAGAACACAGCAAATGTGTGAAGACAAGACCAGGTGTTAGCCTTACACATGTGAACAGACCCTTGATGCTAAATCATTCAGCAAGCATTAACACTCCAGGAGGAATGGGCCTTGACCAGGAAAGAAGGAACCTTTCCCTTGTTGCCACAAGATGACAAATTAACTAGAAATAGTAGCTAGAGAAGCAGCCTGAGTCTTGTGAGGGTCCTAAAAAAAAAACAAACGGAATTAGAAATGAACCTGTAGACTGAGGCCCAGGAAATATTTTTTGTGCAGGAGACTCTGCAAGCCAAAGTAATAGCAACCAAAAAGACAACCTTGTGTGTTGGGAGCGACAAGGAAAGTTCTTGGAGAGGTTCAATGTCTGGAAAACAGACGAGAACAAATTAAGGTTACACTGAGACAAAGGGGGGGACACAGGCAGAGAAATCCATGCGTCACCCTATACAAAGGAACGTGACACGATAGGTCTCTGAACCTGAACAGCCAAGGCTGATCTCTGCCCAATATGCACCCTGTGGCATACCATTGGGGGTTAAACATACAAACTTCGACACCAGACTAAATAAGCTTTCAATGTATAGTGATTATACCTTCCTGGAGATTTACTTTCTTGCTTTGAAGAGGGAAGAAATTACGGAGTCAGAAACACCCCTATCCCTCAAGACTTGAGCTTCAAAAGCCATGCCATCAAAGCAAGCAACTTTAACCTCCTTGGCGGTTTTCCCGAGTGTAGCTCGGGGTAGAATTTCTATACCAAGAACGGTAACCCAGAGCTACACTCGGGCTTACCAAGCAGCGTTCTATGGGGGTCCCTGCAGCACTTACCTTGTCCTTCGCTCCCACGATGTGTGCCCCTGCAGCGTCCCCGTCCATCTCCTCCGGCGGATGCCGGCATCTGACTTCCGTGTTCCAGTCCCCGTGACGTCGGAACGTTCGGGCGGCGGAACCGGCAGGAAATTTGAAATTTTTAAAAAATGACATTTTTGCTGTCATTGCTTTTTCACTGCATTTCACATACATTTTGTCCCCTACTGCTTTGTCCGGCCTTTTACGTCCCTGCCTGCATTTTGACTGTTCTTTATTGCCTGGAAACTTAGAAAAGTCCATGGCGGCCAAAAAGGTACGTCCCTTTACATCAAAAGCGGTTTAAACAGCGATAGTAAATCAGAACCACTTGCAAATTGAGTGATAATGATTTGTGGGGAAATTCGTCATCAGACACTGAAAACGATTTTTTCTCGACTTTGCTCAGTGGATGTGCGAATTTGCCTCTGTATTTCAAACATATTCAGTGTTTTTGGTTTGATTATATTTATTGAATTAAATTGATTATTATTATATTATTATTTTTTATGATTATTAATTAAATTATAATTTATGATTTTGTGTTTTGTTTTATCATATCCGGAATGTTTAATAGACTCTTGTTCGGACAGATTTCATGAGTTATTCCTAAAAATTACAGCCTACAATTAAAAACTACATATTTCCATGCAAAAAAATGGTACCGCTTTCAGCACAAAATTTTTGACATGATCATACCGCCAGGGAGGTTAACAAAGCAGAATGGAAGATCACACACTGTGAAAGCAAGTCTGGCCAATCGGGAAGAGCCCACAGATCATCTGGCCGGAGAATTACAATGTATGCATAACCATGTTCTTCTTGGCCAAGCAGGTGTGCCAAAATCACAAGCATGCCCTCTACCTTTATCCTGTGCAAAGGCAAAGAATTTAAGCTACAGGGAGGAAAGGCAAAGGTCAGGAAGAATTGATCCCACGAAGTCACCAGGGTATCCACCGCAAATGTCTGAGAATCCTTTGTCCAGGGACACAAACCTGTCCAGTTTGTTGCTTAATCTGGACGGCAAGATCCACATCTAGTATCCCAATTTTCCGTTTCAGGAATGTGCACGGAAGAGGAGGTCGACGACCAGATCTTTTTTCTAAGTGGAGCAACTTCTTTGTAACTTGATGGTTGATGTATGCCACAACCATGGCATTGTCCAGTGGTACCCTGACAGAGGAATACCGAAGGTAGACAGATCGGTGTATGGGAGCCAGACAAATCACCAAAAATTCCAGAATGTTGATCGGAAACTTCTGCTCCTTTAAAGACCACTGCACGATCTCTTAACCAAGAGCAGGTACCTGTCCAAAAAAGGCACAAATATTTTTGTTGGGCGGGGGATGGGGGAATTGTGTGTGATCAGAATCACAAGAATACCCTCCAGCAATTAATGCAAGATGTTCTCCATGTTTTGTAACGTTTAGAAGGGGGCTGTGGAGTAATGGTTACCATAATTAACCCTATCTGTACTGTGCTGCAATGCTCTTCATTATCAGCTGTAAACTAGATTTGAACAGCATTCTAACAAAGGGTAAAAAAAATTAGAAAACCTCCTCCTGCATTGTATGTCAACTCCTTTACGTCCATGGCATCCAGAAAGTGGGCTTTATTTTCTGGGTGCTGCACATATGTGCTCCTGCAACATAACGGTTACCGACAGATCTGGGTCTTGTTCTAACAAACAAAAACTGGGGAGAACCGAATCATGTGAATAGCCAAAATTAAAGTGATTAATACTGTAAAGAACAGCCTCCGCATTGTTTCTCCCCTGAAACACAGGAGACAGGTTGTCAGAGGTGACCAAGCCCTGGTGGGCGGGGTGAAACATATCAAGGGGTGTGGCTGGAGCTGCGCTGGCTGAGGCCACATTAATCTACACACTAATGCACTGTGTTGCTGAGCGGTGCCTGTTCTCCTATTTGATGCTCCGAGTGGCCAAGTATTATCTTTTTACATAATAAAAGCACTTTCATATTGCACCTAGCTGTGCACTTTGTCTGTTCATGCATTGCAGTTGAAGATCTCCCAGCCTATTGAGGACGCTGGATTCTGCTCTGCCCATTTGTTTACTAAATAATGACTCTTGGCTACTTTTATTTGGATACATCTTCATTTTGTGCCATTTTGCTACATTATCCTTACAGATTTATTAGCTTTGGGGGTTACCATTGCTTGTTGCACACAGTTGTTTTGGTGTACAAGTCTTTGTACATAGACATTTGAGGCATCCTACCACAGTGAAGGGAAATCTCAGCAACGGGAAATAAAAAAAAAAAAAAAAAAAAAAAAAAGGTAGCTCTACTTTAACAGCAGCAATACATCTAGCAAAGATAGTTGAAGTTTATTAAATTACCTTGACGATGTTGCCTCTTGTACAGACGGTTCCTTCACTTTCAGAGAGGGCTCAGGTTCTTGAATTTCTGCCTCCCTTTTCTCAAAAACTGGAGAAGGACTTGGACTTTTAGTTTTGTGTCTTGGTGAATGAGAGTGGCTTCTTTTCCTCTCTCTCCTTGGAGACCTTCTCCGTGGTGAGGATGACCGAGATTTGCGCCTAAAAAAAAAAAAGGGCAAATACAGCCAAAACATAAATATGAACTAGCACTTCACCTGTCAAAGATTAAATTCAAAAATCTTAAGCACATACACAAATTAAGCATAGAAAGAGGTCACTGCTAGATTTGTGCAAGAGTTTTGTCACTTTTTAAATTTTTTGTATCAGAATATGAAATATCACACACTGGGTATTTAGGACCAAAAAACAAAAATATACTCCTACCTTCTTGGAGTTCTAGATCGATCCCTTTTGTCTCTATCATCTTTGTCTCTTCTGTCTTTGTCATCATCTTGCTTCTTTAGAGATGCAAGCTTCTCTTGTTCAATCTAAAAGAAAAGTTTTGACTTAAATATTTGCTGCTGAAAATACAGATTTTTCTTCGTTGTGAAACCTCTTTTCGTAAGTCTCTGACAGCAACCACAGCTACAGTATTTGCAGCTGCTGACTTTTTTTTTTAATTGCCCGTTAGTCTGAATAAGTGAAACAAATGTATCCAGTGTGGCCAATGCTACAGCTTACCCGTCAGAATGATGCCCAATCTCCAAGATTTCCTGCACTTTTCTAAACACACTCTCGCGCTGGGTAGTTCTAGCTCTCCCAATGTAGCTATTAACATCCACAATAAAGAATACAGGATCACTTTCATGCCTCAGAAGAGTTTGTGCACAGACTGACAGGCAATCTAGCTACACTTGTCATCAGCTCTAATGATAAATTACCTTACTTGTATGTCTAGGAAGGGATCAGGCACAGGCTGAGACAGTAAAGCTGAGTGTCAACAGCTCTGTGTAGACATTTGTCCCATTCATGCAGTTTACATTTGCTTCCAACTATCTCTCAATCAAATTTTGCACACACTTACGACCTGCTAGAGAGAACTTCTTACATTTTACTACAACAGTTTAGCTACAATCACAAGAACATTGGGGCTTGCAAATATGGGGTCTATACTGTGAAGATTTTGCAAACCAATCTCACGTAGTCATAAATATGAAAAATCTACACCTTTAATCACCAATAATATGAAAAATTTGCCCTAAATCACCTTTGTATAAGTATTCGGAAGAAACCTTCAAAGTTCACTGAAATCTCAGCTATTTTCTTATTACAATAGGTCATGTTTAGTGGTGGTACTGGTACTTTTTTCTGCAGCCTTGACATAAAGGCATCATTTCTGTGGCAAGTGTACAGCAATGAGCATCTGCCTGTTCTTCTTTAGGTGGGCCACATACCCATATGCCCTGAAAATCTACCAAAATATGGTCATGTCCATATATGCTTAATGATCCTGTTCATTGGTATACTTTATCTGGCTGACTTCCTCTGGACCAACTTGTTTGTTAACAGTGGAGTGTTCAACATGAATCTGTGCCCAGACTAGGCCATACTAAAGAATTTAGAGAGAAAACAGGTGGCGCACACCTAGTGCATTATCCAAGGTTTATTGTAGGAGTGAAAGAATAATAAAAACATACTCACAGATGAAGCATGTATCTAAAAAGCATAGAAAAATGACAATGGCCACAATGGCAGGCAAGGTGTTCTCACTGTCAGTGCGGTCAAATGGCTGACGCGTTTCGGGGACGAATCCCTTTCCTCAGAGCTGATGATCAACCTCTGATGCGGATGTATGATGAATGGAAAGTAAGAGCCTTGCTATTGATGCCTCTAAAGAATTTACATATTCTGAACAAGCAGAAAAAGGACTTTAAATCAAGCCCTTAATCACCTTTGTACAAGTATTGGGGAGAAACTTTCAAAGTTCACCGACATCTTAACTATTTTTCTATTACGATAGGCCATGTTTAGTGGCAGTACTGGTACACTGGGTTTACTTTTTGCTGCAGCCCTGAAGTAAGGCATCATTTCTGCGGCATGTGTACAGTAATGAATATCTGCATGTAATTCTTTAGGTGGGTGGTTGAAAGGCAATAAAACCACAGTTCAACCACTTGTTTATATTGCCCCCTGGATATCTATGTGAACTAGGCCTAAAAGCAATGTTAGATTTAATTAGAAGTGTCACATTTAAAAATAATCATTGTTACGTCAACATGTAGCAACAGAGAATATCTGACCAATCTGATCTACTCCTGATCCCTGCTCATACACCACAACGGCTCTGCACCTCTGCTATCATAGCGGAGGTGCAGAGCCGTTGTGGTGTGTGAGCAGGGATCAGGAGTGGATCAGATCGGTCAGCTGCAGAAGTATCGGCTGTGACAATACTATTAATGTGGAGTACAGGAGAGAGGAGACATAAGGAAGGAGTAGACCCCTGGAGGAGAAATCCATCCATCCATATCTAACACAGGGATCAGCTTACTGGAGAGACCCCAGATGGAATAATAATAATATTACAACGATCCATCCACAATCTGGGAAGGATTTCTGGCGCAGGAAAATTCTTCATCTGTCCTTGTAGGACAAAAAGCTGTTTTAGCCTTATATCAGTTAGGCTAAAATTAAGGTGAATGCATAGAAAAATTGCATCCAATCCATTTATTGATGTTGGATTTTCAGAACAAACACAAAGTGGACACTTTATACATATATTTATTGACTTATTTAATGTGGTTTTCTTAAAATATATATATATATATATATATATATATATATATATATATATATATACATATACACACACACATACATACATACATATATACACAGTTGTGTTCAAAATAATAGAAGTGTGTTGAAAAAAGTGAATAAAGCTCAAAATCCTAATAATTTTTATTTCCATACACACAAATGCATTGGGAACACTACACATTCTATTCCAAATCAAAACATGAAGAAAAATAAATCAAATTTGTGTTGTTCCTCTAAAAAAAATTGAAGAAAAGTGAATATTAGACTGTTCAAAAAAATAGCAGTGTTTGTATTCTTCTTTACAAACTCAAACATTCACTATATAAACTGAAAAATGTTTGAAGATTTTGCTTTCCTTTGAATCACTTAATGAATATTTCGTTGTATAAGCACTGTTTCTGAGAACTGCTGTACATCTGTGTTGCATGGAGTCAACCAACTTCTGGCACCTGTGAACAGGTATTCCAGCCCAGGATGATTGGACTACATTCCACAGTTCTTCTCTATTTTTTGGTTTTGCCTCAGAAACTGCATTTTTGATGTCACCCCACAAGTGTTCTATTGGATTAAGATCCGGGGATTGGGCTGGCTACTCCATAACATCAATCTTGTTGGTCTGGAACCAAGATGTTGCACGTTTACTGGTGTGTTTGGGGTCGTTGTCTTGTTGGAACACCCATTTCAAGGGCATTTCCTCTTCAGCATAAGGCAGCATGACCTCTTCAAGTATTCTGATGTATTCAAACTGATCCACGATCCCTGGTATGCGATAAATAGGCCCAACACCATAGTATGAGAAACATCCCCATATCATGATGCTTGCGCAACCATGCTTCACTGTCTTCACAGTGTACTGTGGCTTGAATTCAGTGTTTGGGGGTCGTCTGACAAACTGTCTCCGGCCACTAGACCCAAAAAGAACAATCTTACTTTCATCAGTCCACAAAATGTTGCACCATTTCTCTTTAGGCCAGTCAATGTGCTCTTTGGCAAATGGTAACCTCTTCAGCACGTTTTTTTTTTTCAACAGTGGGACTTTGCGGGGGCTTCTTGCAGATAGCTTGGCTTCACATAGGCGTCTCCTAATTGTAACAGTACTCACAGGTAACTTTAGACGTTCTTTGATCTTCCTGGAGCTGATTGTTGGCTGAGTCCTTGCCATTTTGGCTATTTTTCTATCCATTCGAATAGTAATTTTTCGCTTTCTTCCATGTCTTTCAGGTTTTGGTTGCCATTTTAAAGCATTTGCGATCATATTAGCTGAGCAGCCTATCATTTTCTGCACTTCTTTATGTTTTCCCCTCTCCAATCAACTTTTTAATCAAGGTACGCTGTTCTTCTGAACAATGTCTGGAATGACCCATTTTCCTCAGAATTTCAGAGAGAAATGCACTGTAACCAGCATGTACAACATTTGCTGCCTTCCTTCCTTAAATAAGGGCAATAATTGGCACCTGTTTTTCAAAGAATGAATGACTTCACTAATAGAACTCCACACTGCTATTATTTTGAACATGCCCCTTTCAATTAGTGATTCAATTACACAGAATCAGCAGCATGCATGTCATGACTGTTGGATTTCTATTACTCTACTACACCTGCTAGTAAATGATTTGCCATGTAGAAATATCATTTCTACCAAAAACAGTGACTGATCAGGTTAGTGATGTCTGACTGCTATTATTTTGAACACAACTGTGTGTGTATGTATGTATGTATGTATGTATGTATGTATGTATGTATGTATGTATGTATATATATATATATATATATATATATATATATATATATAAATATAAATAAATGATTCTTTATTTTTATGGACTATTTTTTGATGATTTATCACATACTTATAGCTTTATAATTTTAGTCACATTCATTTAAATTTTAATTTTATTTTGATGGTGAATACATTGGTAATATTTGAATATTAATCGCAGGAGCGCGGCACAATTTCTCATAACTCACTGAAAAAGGCACTGTTAAGCAACTTTTAGCTTTTAAACTGCGATACTGAAATGTGATACTTAATAGCATGTCTGACATCACCTTAACCACTTGCCCTCAAGAGGATTTGCCCCCCTTAATGATCAGGCCTCTTTTTGCTACTCGGCGCTGCACTAATTCAACTGATAATTGCGCGATCATGCAATGCTGTACCCAAATAAAATGTATGTCCTTTTTTCCCCACACAAATAGAGCTTTCTTTCGGTGGAATTTGATCACCTGTGCACATTTTATTTTTGGCGCTATAAACAAATTTTTTTTTTAAACTATTTTCTCATTTCTGTCATAAAAAATATCCAAAAAAAATAAACTTTCATCCTAATTTTAGACCAAAATGTATTCTGCTACATGTTTTTGGTTAAAAAAAATCCCAATAAGTGTATATTTATTGCTTTGTGTGAAAGTTATAGCGTCTACAAACTATGGTTTAGATAATGGAATTTACACAGCTTTTACTTTCTGACTGTTCATCACATTTCTTGAGGTGCTAAAATACCAGGATAGTACAAACACCCCTTTTTGGAAAGCAGACACCCTAAGATATCTGCTGAGAGGCATATTGAGTCCATGGACTCTGGAAAATGACAAACATTTTTTTTTTGTTTTTACACAAAGTTGTCATTTAAATTATTTATTTCTCGCACAAGCCATGGGTATATGTGGAATTACACCCCAAAATACATTCTGCTACTTCTACCGAGTATGGGGATACCACATGTGAGACTTTTTGGGAGCCTAGGCACATATAGGAGCCTGAAATCCAATGACCACTTTGAAAGCCTGAAGGTACGTAACTTCCTCATTTCACTTCCTCACTACCTATCAGTTTCGAAGGCCCTGAAATGCCAGGATAGCACCAAACCCCCCCACCAAATGACACCTTTTTGGAAAGTAGACACCCCAAGGTTTTGAAATATATATAAAAAAAAAAAAAGAAAAATGTTTTTTTTTTCTCTTCATTTTCCAAAACCTTCTGGCAACAAACGAAATCTGCAAAATACACACCATGCTTCTTATCAAATTCCTTGGGGTGTCTACTTTCCAAAAAGAGGTCATTTGGGAAGGGGGGTTTGGCGCTATCCTGGCATTTCAGGGCCGCTGAAACTGTGATAGGTAGTTAGGAAGTGTAATGAGGAAATAAAGCTCTTCAAAAGCCTGAAGGTGCTTATTGAATTTTGGGGTCCTGTACTTGGCTAGACTGCCAAAACATCTCTCACTTGTGGTAACCCCATACTCGGGAGAAGTAGCAGAATGTATTTTGGGGAGTAATTCCACATATACCCATGGCATATGTGAGCAATAAATCATTTAAGTGACAATTTTGTATGTAAAAAAATATTTTTTTTGTCATTTTCTAAAAACTTGTGGTAAAAAAATAAATTCTTCTATTGATTCAACATGCCTCTCAGCAAATAGTTTGAGGTGTCTACTTTCCAAAAAGGGGTCATTTTGGGGGGTGGTGGCATTTTATGCCCAGCATTAGAAGTTTATGCCACACATCACTCACTTCTAACCATCTGACACTTTTTGTTCACATGAAAACAAATCAGTATTTTTTGCTAGGAAATTAATTTAAACTCCCAAACATTATATATTTTTTTTAAGCAAACACCCTAGTGAATAAAATGGTGGGTGCTGCAATTTTTTGTGTCATAATATTTGCGCAGCGATTTTTTAAAAAAAAACCAAATACTTTTTTTTACTTTTAATGCAAAAAAAAAAAAATATATAGGCAAATTATTTGGTAAAATATAAAAGATGGTATGCCGAGTAAATAGATACCAAACATGACATGCTTTAAAACTGCACATGCTCCATGCAATGGCGACAAACTGCATACATTTTTAATATCCATAGGCAAGGTTTTAACAGCCTTTACAAGCTACCATTTTAGATTTACAGGAGGTGGTCTAGTGCTAGAATTACTGACCTTGATCTGACTTTCACGGCGATACCTCACATGCATGCTGCAACCGCTGTTTATATACCGGCACAAGGGTGTTATTTTGATTTTTTTTTTTTCATTATTTTTACACTGTCCCTTTCATTTTTTTTTTTATCGTTTTTAATGCTATCACAGGGAAAGCAAATATCCCCTATAACTTTAATGGGCATTGTCATAATTCTTTTTTGCAAAATCTGCGGTCTATCTAGACCAGGGGTGGGCAAACTTTTTGACTTGAGGGCCGCAATGGGTTCATATATTGGACCCGGGGGCCGGACCAAGAGTAGATGAATGATGTGTATGTGTCATCCATAGTAAGTATAGTAATATTCCCCCATAGTAAGCATAGTAATTAATCCCCCATAGTAATTCATCCCTCATATAGTAATTCATCCCCCCTATAGTAATTCATTCCCCATATTAATTCATTCCCCATATAGTATTTCATTCCCCACAGTACTAATGCCCCCCAAGTAGTAAGCCAAGTCCCCCCTGTGTCAATTCACTTACCTTTGCTCCGCGCGTTCCTCTCGCCGTGTTCCCGCGCCGTTCCGGTCTTCAGGGCGGACTGTGAGAGGAGCCTAGCTCCCCTCACGTTCCTCACGCTGCCCCGCCTACACACATTCTGACAGCCGATGTTTGCCACGCTCCGCGGGCCGGATTAAAAGGTCCGCCGGGCCGTATACGGCCCGCGGGCCGTAGTTTGCCCATTGCTGATCTAGACTCTAGATCTCTCCTCTGCCCTTACATTATCTAAGCAAACCAAGATCAGTGTGATCAGATGCTTTCTCAATTTACAAATGGCACTGTTTGTACCCTGTGAAACTGAAGTGATGAAATGCTCGTAGCTTCTGATTTCTTAGGCTATAGAGATGATTGGCACCATTCTGGTCTCCAATCAGTTCTATGGTGAGCTGGCAGAAAAACCAGCTGCATTTTCAGGTTCCCCCGATTATACGGGACTGCCCGAGAATACCGTGGAAGGCAGCGAGGGAGGGGGGGGCATCATCTCCCGCTGATTGTAAAAGCAATCCTGCAGCTAATTAGCCACTAGGATTGCTTTTGCATGAAAGCCGATCGCCAGCTGAAAAACATGATACCAGGATGATGCCTGCAGCTGTAGGCATCATCCAGGTATAACCATTCAAAGTTGTGATGTACCAGTACATCGCTGGTCCTTGTTGGGTGTATATGCTATGTTTTTTTTTTTTTTTTTTTAAATGCAGCCTGTGGACTGAACGAAAAAAAGAGAAATCTCTGCCAGAAAAAGTGTGTGGTATGCCCACCATTAGAATATACCGCCCTGCATCCACCCACTTCTAATGGTGGGCGCACATTAGGTCGCACTGTGCCACATGCGTCAGTTCCAAGATTGTACAAATGTCTCAATAGTGGCATACTTGAATAAGTGTATTGCCGTTGAAATGCATAAAACACATTATACTCTCATATCTATGCCTGGCCATGGCAACAGAGAACACGAGCATAAGATGAATCGGGTTTGTGGACCAATACAATTCATTTTTGTTTAGTAATGCCCATGTTGAGGGTTAGGCCCCCCAAAAAATTTAAATTCGGAAACCGTAATGGGTTACCATGTGAATGGTCTGGCAAGGTTTGAATTTGGGTTGGCAGCAATAAATTGTTGTGCATGTAAATTGCTTTGATCCACAATCAATGCATACAGATCTTCCGTGAAAAACAGCTCCAAAAATCAAGGGGAGTAGTGGAATTTGGTTTTTCCACCTGAATTTCGAGTTGGGCAGTGGATTGGGGGGGGTGGGGAGTACGGGTGCTGCAGAATTTGTGGGCTGCCAATCGGGATTGACACGCGCCCCCTACCCGGATTGCAAAATCCCATATATACGTGATTTTGTGCAGCGGTGCTGCTCTGTCGCAGTATATGTACTGTGGCTGGTTGGCAACCGGTTAAAACAAGTGCATTAGATAAGCCTTTCAACCATTATAAAGATATGCAGAAAAAAACCCCACCTGTCTCTGCTTGATTTCTTCTTTTTTCAGTTCAAGGAATGCTGTGGGAATGCCAGCAATATTTTCCTGGGCACTCAGAAGTAGTGGCCATAGCTCTCCCATGAATTCTCGGGCATTTTTGCCGTTTAGAAAGCCAGTCAGGTTAATTTGCATCATTTTAGAGTCTGGGTTCTGAAAAAGAGACAACAGGAAGATTTACAGGTGAGTACTGAAAACTCTTTCAGTGTTTTATTGATTTCTAATTGTGCATTTAGGGAAAGCTAAGTTTTAGTAGGTATTTGTGGTATACATTCTGCCAAATTATTGCATATTATTAGTGTGGCCTTTTAACCCTTTGTGGATGTCGCCAAATTAAAGACCTGCACAACTGACTTTGCAACACCTACTCTATATACTTGGTAAGCAACACTACTATATAACAATTAAACACATCTATTATTAACTTTGTAGACTACAGAAGACTTATATATGGCAGCCCTAACAATGTGTCAAATGACTAAGTTGGCGGGTTAACATAAGTGGTATAGTCCACAAAGGCTTAAAAGGTTTTCAAGATCACTGGGCAGTTTGAAATGTTATGTACATAGTCAAGCAGTATAGATCCTTGTGACAAGCACAGCGCAACAGCACAAAGTACAGATTCCAGCAGTCTTCAGCCTCTTCTTGGAACCTTGGGGGAGTATCTCCCAGTTCCCCTGGAGAGAAAGGTGTTCGCTTGGCTTGCTTCCGACTGCCTACAGCAACTCAACCACCTTGAGTTTAATGTTATATCATTTATCTAAATTGCAAAAAATGAACAAGCAATAATGAGTACATAGCCACAAATATAAAGATATCAAATATCTACTCTTTTTACTCATGCGTCAAATTAACACTATTAAAGCTAAATGGTTTTATCTGGCTGACTTGCAAGCATCCAACTGATCTCTGGACCAACTTGTTTGTTAACAGTGGAGTGTTTAAAGTGAATCTGTGCCCAGACTAGGCCATATGAAAGAATTTACATATTCTGAACAAGCAGAAAAATGACTTTAAATCAAGCCCTCAATCACCTTTGTATAAGTATCAGGGAGAAACTTTCAAAGTTCACTGACATCTTAACTATTTTTCTATTACAATGGAATTGATAGCCTGCCAGGCCTCGGTATAAACAACTAGCAGGTGTTTATAAGCTGTTTAGAGTCAACTTTCAGTAGGTCTCTTGTGTCCTTGTGATCTTTGATAAAGAATAACTTTCATACTAAAATCAGCTACAGAGGCTAAGGCTTATTTTATAGACCCATTACATCATGTTAAGCATATATAAATAGTTTAATGTCCATAGTCTGGGCACAGGTGCACTTTAAAAAAATAACATCCCATATATGAGGAACACAGAGCAGAAGTGGTCATCTTCAAAAAAGCACTTTGAATAGATACTGAGAAAACCCGATGTTTAAAAGGGACTATAGATTACAAAGTTGAATTCTAAATAATTTGAGTAAACTAAATGAAGACAGTTGTTTATAAAAAAAAAAAAAAAGTGTATGCAAAATCATGATATAGCGTTTACTAATTTATTATAGTAGAATTTAAACATTTGGGAGTAAATGTCATCATGTTGAAGGCAATGTATTTTTTTTACTCTTACCATTGAAGGCAATAGGAATTTTTTTTTTACTCTAGTTATACCACTATGCTAAATGGTGTCATTCTTAAATATAAACCAATTTTAATTATGCATATTTTACTGTGCTTTTTTGTTTTGTTTTTGCTCATCCACCGTAACACAACTCACCTCCAGAACAAACACTGCATCATCAAGAGTTGGGTCAGAGCGACATTGGACACTCACTCTGCTGTGCCCTAAATAGGTGATGGTGCTATACTTCACACGCAAGGAATAACTTCCATTTTGGGTTCAGGCCTTTTAAATCATAAATCACATTATCATTAGAAAACTGCCATCTAACCCATCATGTCACACAGCAAAACATTAACTTCTTCCTGACTTGCAGTCTGAAAACCATGTACCTTCAGCTAAACTTATTCCACCAACACTGCCAATAAGGTCACACAACCTATAAGCTAAGTCAAATGCAATGCAACTCACATAATAAAAAAAATTAATCCTTAAACCTTCAATGAGGAATACCTTCACTTCCAGCTGGTTGAAAATAAAGTCAATGACCACATCGTCTTCAAACCCCAGAATTTCCGTTACACGCTTTGTTATCCAAGGCTTTATTACTTCCAAGTTTACTTTGCTCATATCCACCTGAAAGGAAGATACAAAATAATTTGGTTATAATGCAAAACAAAAAGGAAATAGATATAATAAGGCCTCATTTATTCTAATAGGGTCTTCAGAATAAAACATGCAAACAGCAGTGGAACGCTGTGGCTCCTGTCAGCCTGCCATTGCTGTGCACAGGCCTTCCTGCAGCTGTTTACATTAGAGTCATAAGAACTTCTTGGTCCCAGATTGAGTGTCTTGCCACTGGAATCCACTGATGGCCCTATCTGCAAGTTTGTATACGACCTAACGCTAAGTCTGGAGCCAAGAGGTTCTTATGATCGTAAAGAGAAGGCACACCAATTCCCGTCACAAAAGTATTAATGGAAATCTTCAAACATTCTGTGAACTGGATAAACATCAACATAATTATTTGTAAATTTTAAAGTTAAGAAAGGACAATTATGAAGCATTTTGTTGTGTGCATATAGACTTGCATGTGGCAAAGTGAGTTATTAAAGTCATATATAAGCACCTGTTGCATATGTTGTTCAGTTCTAAAACTCCAGCATGAGTATTGCATGAATAAGGTCAAAAAGTTTCCCCACTAAAGTCAAGTGTTTTCTCCATTAATCTCCAGTGTTACCCTGCAGTTTAAAGATAAGCTTTTGGATATAATATTTCAATATTAAACAAATAGTACCTTTTTTTCCAAGCATTCTGCAAACTTTAACTGCTTCAAAAGCTTCTTCTGTTTGTTGCTAAAGCGATTATCCTGCTCCGCACTTGTGCCCTACAAAGAATTAAAAAAAATAAAATAAAATGATGAATAAAATTTAGAGTGAGAAAAAAAAAAGCTTGGAACCATTGTTATACATTAAATATGTCCATATTAGGTGGCAAACAGAAACTAGATAGTAAATATCCAAACAACTTATGTATATGTCACTGTCAAAGGCTACTCATCCATCCCTGTACAGATATATGCAGTCAGACGTGCATACAGATGCAGTGTCTGTCACCAGTTTGTACAGGCTGCTGTCTATGGCTGTACGCCAGGGGTGATCAACCTTTGAAGAGCGAGGGCCATTTAAGTAATTTGGCAACCGGTAGTGGGTCACAATGAAATGAAACGGTTCAGAATTTTCGAATGTCTTCATTTGAATAGCATAATGAACATTTCTCTCCTGCAGCCGCTGAATGCCGGTGGAAGGGAGCGGAGGAGGAGAAAACGGCTTTCAGCAGTTGCAGAAGGAAAATGGAGAGGATTGTTTCCCGTATAACACACCCCTCCTGTGCAAGAGTAAAACAGATCATGACCGGGAGTCTGCATGGGCCCCCTGGAGCATGGGGCTGGATCACCATTGCGACCCCTGATGTTTCCCCAGGTTAAGGGTGTGTGGTAAAAACACATCTCAACTAGGGGGTTTCTGAAAGTGCACCAAACCTGCAGGATATAATAGAAGTGAACTTCCCTGGTTTGAGGTCGAGGGCCACATCAAAGGGTTACGAGGGCCACATGTAGCCCATTGGTCACAGGTTGAGCACCTCTGCTGTACGTCAATACCTATGACCCCTGGGCACAACATTCAAGCAACCTTGTATGCTGCACAACCCTCTGCAGCTGTGTGAATAAAGTCTAAACATTCTTTAAAAATGTACCTTACATAAAAGTGCACCAGTAGCAATTATAAAGACCCAGCATTCCTTCCTTTTGTACATTATCAGATAGCCAGAGGATGTACAGTGGATATAAAAAGTCTACACACCCCTGTTAAAATGTCAGGCTTCTGTGATGTAAAAAAAATGAGATAAAGAAAACATTTCATTACTTTTTCCACCTTTAATGTAACCTATAAACTGTACAACTCAGTTGAACAACAAACTGAAACCTTTTAGGTTGTGGGAAGTAAAAATAAAAAACTAAAATAATATGGTTGCATAAGTGTGCACACCCTTAAACTAATACTTTGTTGAAGCACCTTTTGATTTGATTACAGCACTCAATCTTTTTGGGGTATGAGTCTATTAGCATGGCACATCTTGACTTGGCAATATTTTCCCATTCTTGCTTGCAAAAACACTCCAAAACTGTCAGATTGTGAGGGCATCTCCTGTGCACAGCCCTCTTCAGATCATCCCAGATTTTCGAATGGCTGGGGCTACTACAAAACTTTCATCTTCTTCTGGTGAAGCCATTCCTTTTTTGATTTGGATGTATGCTTTGGGTCATTGTCATGCTGAAAGATGAAGTTCCTCTTTATGTTCAACTTTCTAGCAGAAGCCTGAAGGTTTTGTGCCAATATTGACTGGTATTTGGAACTGTACATAATTCCCTCTACCTTGACTAAGGCCCCAGTTCCAGCTGAAGAAAAACAGTCCCAAAGCATGATGCTGCCACCACCATGCTTCACTGTGGGTATAGTGTTCTTTTGGTGATGTGCAGTGTTGATTTTGCACCAAACATATCTTTTGGAATTATTGCCAAAACGTTCAACCTTGGTTTCATCAGACCATAACACCTTTTCCCACATGCCTTTGGGAGACTTCAGATGCGTTTTTGCAAAATTTTGCCGGGCTTGGATGTTTTTCTCTATAAGAAAAGGCTTCTGTCTTGCAACTCTACCCCATAGCCCAGATATATGAAGAATACGGGAGATTGTTGTCACATGTACCACAAAGCCAATACTTGCCAGATATTTCTGCAGCTCATTTAACGTTACTGTAGGCCTCTTGGCAACCTCAGAACAGTTTTTTTTGTAATCTTTTCATTAATTTTGGTGGGACATCCAGTTCTTGGTAATGTCACTGTTGCATCATATTTTCTCCACTTGATGACAGTTTTCACTGTGTTCCATGGTATATCTATAATGCCTTGGAAATTCTTTTGTACCCTTCTGCTGACTGATACCTTTTAACAAAGAGATCCCTTTGATGCTTTGGAAAGCTCTCTGAAGACCATGGCTTTTGCTGTAAAATGCGACTAAGAAAATGTCAGAAAAGACCTACTAGAACTGCTGAACTTTATTTGGGGTTAATCAGAGGCACTTTAAATGATAGCAGGTGTGTACTGACTCATGACATGATTTTGAATGTGATTGCTTAATTCTGAACACAGCTACATCTCCAGTTATATGAGGGTGAGCACACTCATGCAACCACATTATTTTAGTTTTTTTTATGGTTACACCCCTCCAAAATATTTCAGTTTGTTTTTCAATTGAGTTGTACAGTTTATAGGTCATATTAAAGGTGGAAAACGTTCTGAAATGATTTCTTTGTTTAATTTTTTTACATCACAGAAACCTGACATTTTAACAGGGGTGTGTAGACTTTTTATATCCACTGTACACATTGCATCAGCCTCCAACAAGCCTGGCTGTTGAGGAGGATTACTGCTGGAAACCGATACAAAATTATATAGAAGTACTGACACTAGAAACAAACTAGCATTTTCAAAATAAAGCTAAGGCAACCACAAATGTCTCTGCTGATAGGTGTACTTTAACAAAAACAAATGCACAATTAGAAATAGTATAGAAAATGAGCAAACATCAATGTGTCTACAATTTTTTTTTCTGTCTTCCAGGAAGCACATACTAATGCTATTATTAGAACATACCAGGAATTAGTGGCATCTCATATGTTCCATATGTCACCAACAAGGCAGGTGCAAACAGAATTATTTCTTAACTAGGACAGTAGAGGAAATACTGAAGTATTTTCATAAAGCCCAATATTTAAGTTATCAAATAAATGTATTTTGTATTTTTGTTTACGTGCTGTGCAATTACAAAGATTTACTAACAAACAGATGCTCACCTACTTGTATGTGTCCCTCTCAAGTCAGATGGGACCAGCATGGAATCATTCTCACTGCAGAATGTAACTCATTCAGATGATACAGGAGCGATATACGTAAGCAGGTGAATGTTCCAACCCCCCAGTGAAGTCCTCCACAGTGATTCTGCCGCTGGCAAAGTCTCACCAGCATCAGGATCACTAGTGTAACATCAATCAACATTACTTTTCCATTTAAGACTTTAAAAAATGTGAAGTGCAGTTCCTGGGCTGGTATACTTGTTCCAAGCAGACCTATTATTGCAGGTCGCCATGGGGACCAAAAATTGCATCCTGACACCTGAGTATTTGTCAGCCCATTCACCGACAGGTCTCCACGCTCCCCGAATTAGTGGCCGTTGTCCGCACTCTCCTCTCAGCTCAGGTCACTCAGCTTTGCTTTTACTTCTCCCAGGCTGGCTGTCCCGCTACGAGGCCTGGCGGAGGAATCCTGAGTGGGGCCTGTGCTTCCTTACCACACTGATGTGCTCACCAATGGTCTCATTCCTGAATCTGTGGCCGGCCCCTCTCTCCTCTCCCATGGAGTAGGGCGCTGTCCGGAGACCCCCAGAGTCACCTCCTTGCCTCCCAGTGTGCAGAGGTTTCCGGTATACACAACGAACTTCCCACACACTGGTGCAGCCCTAAGAGCCGGCTCCCCGGAGGACAGCCCTCCTGTCACACAGAGATCTCACGTGGCACGGAGAGCCCATGGAGCGGAGGATGCGGCCTTCTTAGCTATCAGTACTGTCAGCATGAAAGCAGGTGGTCAAGGATGAGTGCTCCGAGGGAAGCCAGGTTCGCCAAGTCCTGCCAGCTTTGACAGCCTCACCTCCAGTACAGCAAAGACTTCCTCACTGACAGCCAGAAGCTCAGGACAAGGTGGCACAACCATGCTGGCCAGGAACCAGCACATGCACTCCATCAACCTTACTCTGCAACTCTGTGAAACATCCCCATCTTCTCCATACACCACCCCATCGCCCCTAGGGACAGTGACCCCAGCTCCAGACTATGCTGGCTGGCAGAGCTGGCACCAGTTGCCCTATGGTGCCAGGATAGGGGTGAGGCAGCAACTACAGGCAAAGCAACGTACCCGTACGTTGCACTGGCAGTACCAACACAATGGGGCGCACAGCGCTCCCTGACAGCAACTGCTGTGCCCGGCAGACACAGCGGAATGAAGATCTCTGTGATCATGTGATCACTATGCGATCACATGATCACGATGTAAGCAGAGCTGTTCTGAATCAATCTCATAACAGCGCTGCTTCTCTTCCTAGTGAGCTGTGACTGGCCCACAGGTGTCACATGATACATGGGGCCAATCACAGCACCCTGTACCATGTGACCAGCTCCAGCCAATCACAGATCACGATCGAGCCGTCAAAACCTTAACTCATTGATGACAGTTCATGAATGAGTTAGATTCATGAGAAATGATCTCTCCTGCAAAGCAAAGTGGAACAAAAATAAAAATCCCTGATCACCCCCCACCAGTAATACAATGTTACTATAGTAACATTGTACTATTCTGATAAAAGTATTTTAAATTAAAAAAAAAAAATGTTACAAAAAAAAAAAAAAACACCATATTGAGAATTTTATATTTTTTTAAAGGTTTTTTTTTTTTTTTTTACTATTTGCCAACCGCTTACCCGCATTTTGCGAGCAAGCAGCAGCTCTTGGGAAAGTGACATAATCTTGCATCGCTTCCTATTTTTGGGTGTGAATGTGCCTACGCCCCCCGCGGCACCCCCAGTCGGTCCTGGGAGAAAAGAGAACATGGCACCGTGTCAGAGCCCTACATTTTACACACAAACACGTTCAATTCGAACATTTTACCCTTTTTACCATTTGACCCATCACCCGGCCAGCACCATTAGTACAGTGTCAGTATATAGAATTTTTCACTGATCACTGTATTCCTGCCACTAGTGACATTAGATGCCA